CTTAAGATTGAACAAGCTACGGTTTCCCCATACTCCTTGGCAGAGATTATCTGGATGCATAAGAAAAACAGGCCAGAATCTGTGCAACAAAATATCTTTTTAGAGTCCACTTTGAAGATCTGGGACAAATATAGGTCATCTCTGGCTCCGGATGTGTCCCCACTGTCCGTGTTCACCAAACAAGAATGGTTCCCACCTGGAATGGGAACGGATACGTATGCTGTCTGGACTGAAGGAGGTTTCAACAAACTAATTGATCTTGCTCCAAAGGGTTCTCTTCTCCCGAAAGTTCATTTCGAAGAGAAACTACAAAAAACGGTTTCGTGGTTAAAATACTATCAACTGAAGAGTTTAATTGAATGGGCTTCGGACAAAAAAGTCTTCTCCAGACCAAAAACCGGTTTCGAACGAACTCTTATTATATTTGCAGATAGGAAAAAAGGTCTTCTCTCCATCATATACAAACTGTTAATGGAGTCGGGGAAGATACACATAGAGGCAAACAGAAAGGCATGGAATAAGGATCTACAGAAAAACCTGACAGATGACCAATGGTTGAAAATATGGGACTCCGAGGCCTATAAATCAAGCATTTTCTCCATCCGATTGCAACTATTTAAAACACACACGAGATGGTATCTTTCGCCCAAAAGATTACATCACATGCATTCTAACTATAGCCCTCTTTGTTGGAAAGGATGTGGAGAAAATAGTGATTTTCTACATTGCTGGTGGTCATGCTCCAAGATACAATCTTTCTGGGAAGATGTTGTGGAAGAAATTTTCCAGATCACCTCACAGAGATTACCCTTGGACCCCGCGATACTTCTTCTTCACCTTGTGGACGATACTCATCCTAACACAGAAATATCTACTCTTACCTCAACGCTCCTTGCCACAGCTAGAATATCTATCGCTTCCAAATGGAAGGCTACAGAACCGCCAACTATTAAGCAATGGAGAGAAAAAACTTGGGAACATTTTATCATGGACCGTATTGCACAATCTATGGCTGACAAATCACACAAATCCACTACCTCACATTCCAAATTCGTCAGTACATGGTTCAGTTATATACAATATATGACTGAACGACAGCTTCTCCCATCCAATCCAGAGTACTTGGATTGGCTTCATTTTGCATAATCTAATACACGTTTTCATACATTGTATTTGAAGAATTCTGGGCTGATTCTGGGAAAGAGTGCAAATAGTTTTTAGCTCTCTATTAACATTTTATGACGTTTTATCGTTACGCTGTTTGTTATTATTGTATCACAAAAATCGGTTGCTATATTTGTTAATTTTCAGTGTTATACCTAATAAAAAATTTATTTAAAAAAAAAAAA